TCGTTGCTACTATAATTGGTGTATTTGATTAATTCTTAGGGCATTTAGCACCAATCGGTTTTCTCAAAGAAATGCAATTAATCAAATTACATAATGTTCTACAAATTGCTAGCCTATCGAATAAAAAGGTATCCGCTGAATTCACATTGTATTGGCAATGCGGTAGACAGTTTTGCTCAAAGGACTGAAAAAGAACTTCGGATAAGGATTAAACACCCGAACAAAATATAGCCAGTATCTTCCTTGCAGCAGAGTTTTTGAAAGCGGAAAATCTATCCCTGATACGATTATTGCATTAATAAAATAACTAACGACTTACGAAATTAGATGCGAAGATTGATGCAATTTCAAAAAAGACACATTATCAGTTAAATGCTGAAATAATACACACAGCAGCTGCATGTAAACATTGAAACAATATCTATGATGAAATAATCTCAAACGCAAAAATATGTGTGAATTTTAATTATCACCATAATATTCGGTAAGATGAAAAGCAAATACTTATTGTGAACTAAAAGTATAAAGGGAGGTAATAATTAGATAAGAAATGGAATTTTGAAATTGCTAATTAAACTAAACACAGGATCTCGAATAACATCATAGAAAATGATTCATTCTTTCAGCTTTTCATCCCGTCTTTGATTGATTATCCTTCTTTGGAAAGGGTACCTTGTCTATAGCGATGAGAGCATGACCCAGCCTAGCGCGGAGTACAGAAAGCGCGCTCTTTGTTGATGGCGTCCTTATCCATTGGTTGAGGCTTGCCTTTTTGTAAATTGTAAGAATATTCACCACGGGAGAACTAGGATTTCAAAGGCTTAATCACATTGTCCATGCGATTCATCAAAAAGGATACTGTAAGATATTTTGATTTTTAGCTTATTACAAAACGCCGAAATCAATGTCTAATTTTCTTTCAAAAATACGCACCTTTAATATATCGATTTCATTCACTTAGTTACTGAGATTTTTAGCCAACTCTCAGCCTTTCCTATGGACTTCGTTACATTCTCATTCCTTCGCGGTGGGCGCTCAGGTTTCTCTACGAAGGCTGATGACGTTTTATCGTCAAGGAAAAGGATTTTCTTAAGACAACTATCAAAATTAGATGAATTTATAGTTCCCCGCAACTTCACAAAGATATGCTTATTGTTAGTGAACAAAACTATGGCGATTTCAATAAACACAAAACAGCTCTAAAAATAATGTCGCTTTAGATTTATGATAAAACCATTTCCTCAAACACTTCAAACACCGAATGGAGAATACATACAACCAATTTTTTGTTTTCTTTCTACCTAGCATCCGAAGGTAGCACCTAGCAGTGTCCTCATACTTCCTTTTGGTGTGACAACAATCGTGATTCCTACGCCTTGAATTGCAGAGTTGTTGACTTTCCTTTCTCTTGGTGAAAGTCTGGTCATGTCAGGGTCTCACACCCAAGATCCTTAGATCTGTAGTTCGCGACCCTTCCCACTGAGCCACCTCGCTCCTCAAACCTGCGATGAAAGATTCTTTTGTGTGGTTCATTAATCAAATTTGTACAATAACTCGAGCAGAGTTAAAATGTTAAAGAGTATAATTGGTAACTCTGCATCTTTAACACCAAATTTTCACTTTAGGCATTTTTCATTGCCAATGGCAATCAAAGTACAGACTTGCCGTAAAGCATTTCGTGATAATTTTTCCCAATAATCTGTCGATTTGACGGACATGAGGATAAAGAACACTTTTTGCTGCCTTGCCTTACCTACATGGTGCAAAGACTGGGTTTTCTTGTTATCATTAACACTATGTTAGAACCTTAAACTTTTTCAAACTTTATTAAACTTTTTTAATAAAGTGATTCTCACAATCGCTCTTCCTGGCAGAAAAAGTTTCCCACTTAAGGCAAATAACTATCATTTTTGATACAAAATTAAAGTATGTATCAACGCAACAGGACGCTTCCGCTGAACCAATGCCATTTTTTTCAACACACACGTGCAGTGAGCTCGCCACATAGCGAATCCTCGGTTCAACGACTCTTCGCGTTTAAAGACCTATATTCCAGGGACAAAATCTCTTGTAGACCAGTTCTCGGCTCAACACACCTCTGGACCATGTACCCTTGTTATGAGGATTTTATGGAGTGGCCACTGTGACGATTCTTCTTTTTTAGTGGAACTCTTTTCAGTTTATTTGTATTAGTATATATATATATATATCAAATAATATTTCTTTAAGTGTAACCATGTAACTAGCAATCACTGTTACTATGAAATGGGATGTCTTGTTTAGGTGCAACGTGGCAATACGTTTTCATACTCCTTGCATCGTCAGCGTGTAGCGTTATTTGCTCGTTAGTAAATTAGATACTTTAGTTGAATTCATTGAAAAAAGCCTGTCAATTGTGAAGCGAAAAAGATAAATATTATGAACCTAATGCTGCTAATACTTTAAGTTCTTGTAAGGTTTTATACTATTTGGGTTGGTCACGTGTTTTGAAATGCCTCTTTGAGAACTGGAAGATGTTTTACATTGTTTACAGAAAATTGGATTCGTTAGTTGATTTTAACTTGAACAAGTAAATTTTGATGCATTCTGAAATAATTTTGCAATTTTGGCATTTCCAGTTTTTGGCTTTTCGGCGATTCGATAAGAAATCTTGGAACATTTAAATCATGCTATTTCCAGGCTTTTTGGTTTAGACAAAGAATTGTTTTAGATTTGTATCTATTTATTGCTCAACATATTTGCATCCAAGATGACATATCTATCAAATAAACACTGCAGTGTTTATGGAGGGGACAAATCGCAAATCAATAAATGCCATGTCTTCTAAGCAAAATAAAGAAATAGTTCAGTGGAGAGAGTTTTGTTTGCACATTGCTTGATTAAAAAGAGTGTTTCGATAATATTACAAATAAAAGAAAATAAATTCATCCATAAAGAATCAAAAATATTCGAATAGAAACTAAAGATCTCTTGAATGTCAATGAAACTTGTGATTTTGTTTTTATTCTATGACTCAATGAAGACCATTGACACAAACATTTTTCAAACATCTTACCCGTGTTTCTTAAGCAAAAAGGTTATTTCAATCGATATAAAATAGTTCCTGATTTAGATGTCTTAGTTTGTATCAAGCATTCCATAGTGGACAAAAGCTATACCTTACTGTAACGTTAATGTATACTTTTAATGCTTGTCCTTTTGCAACTGGCTCAGCTCTTGATTAAACGTTAATCTTCTCTGTGTCATTTTATATTTGCAAGTTTATAATGGCATTAGGTTCTTTTTTTGCTAAGATATTGAATATGGTTTTTTTTCGATACACAAAAGAACGTTTTACCAGAAAATTTGACTTGACTCCATGTTCAAGTTTTTATTGTCTGAAAAAATGCTTGAAAACCTGACCATATTTGTGTAGACTTGAAGAAAATTTTGCTTTTAAAACTAACTGGATCTTTTTCGTGTAAATTGAAAATTTATGTCCCACGTCATTAGCGTCAACGGTACAGGAGCCAAAATGAGGGTAAGAAGTGAGCGTAGATCTCTTGAGCTTACTAGCCTCGTTTTGAATTCTTCCCATTATATAATGCTAAGTAGCGGCTTTTACCTATTGATTTCAATTTTTAAAAAAATCAAAAGGTAAATTTTCAGAGTCACGCCGACTCTATTGGTAGTAGCTTTAATGATTAATTTCAATTTAAAATGAGTTCCAACGGATATATAATGATCTTGCAGAGCATTCTGAAACCTGCTTAGTTCAAATAGAATTGCAACACAAGTTGCCTGTCTTCGATGCAGCCCAGCTCTAAACTTTGGTCTATTTAGCAAAGCTGCAGGGAGTGGAAAAAATTTATGGCATGAATTCATGTATAAAATGTAGAAGTCTTTACCACCTTTTAAGAGCAATCTTCTAAATTATAGCAATTGCAGAATAAGGTGACCATTTGCTGACTTACAGAAATTTTCATCTTGGATTATACACCATTTTAAAAAAAGCATTTTCGATTTAGAAGCTTCTTATCCTGGTGCGTTGTCTTGCATGGATGATAGAATAATGTTTTTTTGAAGGTTGCAATTGCTGATGAATTTCTAAATGGTTTTCACGACTTGTTTTCTTAAATGCTTTTACTCATGCAATTGATTGATTATGTCAATTTGCATTTTTGTTTTTCACATTCAAGTTAGAATATTTATCATCTACTTATCTATTTGCTGTATAATTTTGTTACTTATTAATAACTTTGTTCCATTATTTTTCTAACCATTTACTTGTTTTGGTTTTCTTTTTGATTGCATAAATTACTGACTCATTCATTTACCTTATAATTACCTTACAAATTTATTGACTAACTGATTTATTTATTCATTCATTCATTCAGTTATTCATCAACTTTGTGTTTCATTGATCTCTGTCACTTCAAAATCCAATGAATCAATATCACCTGAAAACTGGATGTCTTATGTAATAATAAGAGTTTAGTTGAAATACATTTTACTGAAAATTTTGTGAGGAAAAAATTATGCTCATTTAATGAAAAATATTATATTGATTGCCTTTGGGAAGACTTGTGATAATCATGCATAATGACATGAAATTTATCGGAAAAGGGGTGTTTGTAAAACAGAAGAAATAAATGGAAGTCGGAAATGCAAAAATGCAGATTAATACAGTTAATTGATGACCTGAACGATGCATATGAGAAAGGGCGCAATGTCGAAAATTGCCACACGAGATTGCTTGATTCTTTGTGCAGCAAGGTCATCTTTTGTTTGAGAAAACCCTATAATGAAACTTAGCATGACATTTAGCAAGAATAATTACCGTCTTTCTAAGAAAGATTTCTCATTAAATCTTTCCGCATTAACAAATAATTTTAAGCTGCTACAAACACTGTCGGCTGTTTGCAACCATCCAGGACAAAATTCCCCACTTGCAATTACCTTCATTACACCCCTGTACAACAACTACTATACAGAGAAAGCCATCAGAGTAATGCTGAAAATGCTCTCACAAGAGCATATGAAATGAGATAAATGATATTAATTGACAAAAAAGGCTTTATGATGTTCCGATTTTATTATCTGAAACCTCTCGAAGAACCAGCTGGGCCTTTGAGTATTAATCCATCCATTACATTACTGGCACACTGACAACAATGAACGACTTAGAAAACAAGGGATGGCTTATAACTGTCTTTGACCTAGTTACATTTGCCGTTTTCGCCAAACAGCATCCGTATCGCGTTCATCTGAGATTCAGTAAACAACCATACGCCGAGAGTATCGGGCTAATAGGATACGTTGTTAGCGTAGTCTCAGTAAGCGATCACTGATACAAGATATCGCACGCACTGCATCAAGATGTGGAGGCCGAATTCTTGCTGTGCTAAGCATCCTCCTTGTTATAGCAGCTCATGTGTACTTGAGTCATCAAAGATACTTTCCGAATACATGCAGAGGTATCACAGTTATCATGGAAGTGAGTCAAGCAGTCATCATTCCCCTACTTTTTGTGGCAGGACGCTTTCAGGCTACAGAGAAAATATATCAAGCTATCCAGCCTACCCTACATATGCAACACATTACCAGCCGACTTGCTCCTACTGGCACAGCAGGATTTCCAAATACCATGACAGCATCGCAGGTATACCCTTTCGTACAACGGATCCGCTAGCACATTTCTAATACTTTGAGTCATATAAATATGAAAGGATGAAAACATTCAAAACAGCTCAACTAAAGCTTGTGTTTTCAGAATTTACATTTCAAAGTAATTTTCAAGTTGCCGTGCTTTTTCATGGTTATGATTCCATATCAAACAAGGTTAAATGAACAAACCAAAACATTATTAACTTTATTTGATAAAATAGCCATGAAGCCTTAGCTAGTAAAACGGAGTTTACCAAGTAAAAGAATCCCGAAGAAAACTTGATTCAGATTGGAAACGAGCTTTTTGAAAGACCCAGAGAAGTTTTTATTTTATCTCTCATCAATAATCAACAGTTAGTAATCAGTCATCTACAAATGCTCTTAATTCATTTTATCATTTTGGAATGGCATATTTGTGGTGAAATGTCAACATATGGAAGCACTAGGCATCAACAGGGGTGTTATAATGTCTCAAACAGCTCGTTGCTGAAGATTTTAGAGTCATATTTCATTCCGTAGTTCCTAATAGCCTGGCCAATAAGGTGTGAGTAATAAAGCATATATAGGTTTGTAAAATAAAGGAAGACAAGCGTCTGTAACATAAGAATCTGTAGAATATTTCACAGATAGTTTACTGAGGAAGAAAATATTCAAAAACTAATTAAAACCTGCTGCGAAAGAATGATGGGAAACGGTGATGCAATCTTATTGGAGAAAATATTCAGGTTGCTCAGTACTGATGCAACATACAGGGAAATACCAGATATTGAAGAGCTAACAGTGGCATTTTGCTCTTCACTGAGCTTTACTAAACTTCTCTTAGTATGAATCTGAAGTATTCGTTTAATTACAATCCTAAAGGAAAAACATTTGAAAGAAAGCATTTTACAAGTTAAAAGATGCTCTCATTAGGACGTAAGATTTCATAATTAGCAAGACAGCTTTTATCCATTTGTCGATGTATAGGGCGACTATTGATCAAAATTGATCTATTTCAATTTCTTAAAGCTCTTTTTATCTAAGATGAACAAAACTAAAAGAAGATGAACGTATTTATTTTAATCTATGACAGAAAATGAACGTAAACTATCTATGAATGAAAAGCATCAAAACATCAAAAATTACCTTAACATTTAGGTAATTGATACTACTGGCAGAGGGAGGGAGGAAGCGCGACAGAGAGAGTATTCGATCAAAGCCTATCGACAATGTCACTGCGAGTATTTTGAAGACAAAACTCAAGCAAAACTACAGTGAGATCGTTAAATATTCAAGAATCACCAGAAAACGTTGTCCATTAAATGCATGAGACAAACGCAAGGGAAAGCTAGAAGGAGTTGGACTGACTTTGCCTCCAAAATGTGCAAAGTTTCAAATTGTATTAGTTTAAAATGCGTTTAAAGCTTCGGCCGTGTCATTTCGATAAATTTCATATTTACTTCGTTTCTATTTTTTTGTTCATTTACCCAAGTTACAAATGGCTCCAGTAACTTCACTGAGAACATCTTGTATACAAAGTGAAAGGCAATGATTGCCAATTTCAGAAAAATTTCTTTGCGGCTACAACCCTTTCCTCTCACTGAAATAAAGCTAAAATATACATTTGGATTTTCGTATTAATTTTGTAGTAAAACCTTTAGACATTTGTATTGAAAAGAAGATTGAAATCTTCGGATATCTTAAAAGTCCAAACAGGGGAATTTTTATGTTAGAAATTTTGGTTCTTTCAAAGAGAGCTACGTTGTAGTTTTAGAAAGATAGTATAAATGTTACACAAGATTGAAGAAAAACATTTTAACCTCATTTTAGTATCTACACTAAGATATACCTTTTTGTAAAGATTAGTTTATATCACCCAAATTTTGACATTATTAGGAAGATTCGCTTTACACAATTTGCAAGAATTCTTTGAAATCTTTATCAGTACAGCTTTTTCCTTTAGGAGGCAAAAATTAGAATTGAAACTGTTCATACATTCAGCTTAACCGACCCTCTGAATGTTTACTTTTACAAATATTTTGTGGTCAACGGTTTTTGAAGTCAAAAGTCAATCTCTAGAATTTCCATGCAGTTTTAGTAGCATTGCCTTGACTAAGAAATGAAAATATTAGATAGAATTTTTGTAGCATTGTACTGGAACGTTCCTTCGTTTAAATTTTACAGTTGTATACGCAATGGTTCATAAATTGGTAAAATCTAACGGCAGCTCAAGAATCTTTGCTAGATTTTTCACCTAGCTACTTTTTACACTGATTCGGTAATGTCTGCTGTGATTTTTCAAAGTTCGTTTAAATAGTTGCAACAATTTGACGCAATTGGAAAGTTTTTTAGTTGTTAAAACAGATTATAAATGAAGATCATGTCAAGAAAGCATTATTGTCCTTTAAAAGCAATTGTGTTGAAACAAGCGTAGTACCAATTCAAATGAAATTGTCCATGTCATTAAAAAACTGGATATTCTCAGTGTTATCAAGGTTAACAAACTTTACTGACAAAGGTTAACAAGACTTTGAAGATAGATTTCTATTTCCAAAATCCGCTTTCTCGTCATCTGAAGACTTGGCTACTTTTCTTTGCCTGATCTCAAAAGTTGTCAAGCAATAAAATGCATTTGCATTTGTTTTTATGCAAACACCCAAAACAGATCAAAATGGGAACGTTTGGACTTACGAACAACAAAAACAGTTTAATGCACTAATTCATGTTATGTTTCTTAGTGATTAGAAAACTAGTTTCCAGGTGTTCAGAATACTGTTAGAAAGGTTTAGTAGACCTATTGTCAAAATTAAACTTTGATGAATGTTGCCTGTTTTTCTTTACAAGATTCATTTCTGTTTTGATAAAATCATTCTCTTTTTCCTTACTATCCATTTCTTCACAGACCGTATTAATACATATTCATAAATCGATAAAAACTACTTTGAGGTTAAAATAAAAAGACGGACAAGCTTCAAAACCATTGATCCAATTGCTTTTTGCAGCGCTTCCTTCTTCATCTTGATTTCAACGTATTTTTAAACAAGCCGCAAGCGTAGTTAGACAAATCTCAGCAGGGCGTTGCCTCCCTTTATGATAAGATTTACCGCATTTTTTAGAATGCAAACCTGTTTCAGCTTGAAGGGAAAGACCCCCTTTGAGCTTTAGTCCTTAAAATTAAATTCTCTGATAGTAAATCGTTGAGCACTGTAAGTGAGAAAAGATCATAGCCAATGCTAGAAAAGTGAGTCGTAAAACTCTAGAAGCGTTATAATTTTTTGATCTGATGTAGATTTGAGTTCATATATGATAATAACTTATTCCACATATTATAGTCTATATAAAAGGCAATGATAGGCTTAATAAAACAAACATGTTTCATCAAAATGTGGAGACGAACTGTATGGTAGCAAAGGCATAAAGATAGGTTAAAAAAAAGTGTATTTAGACTTAATTGCATTCGAAAGCTAACGATGGAGAAAACCACCAAGAAAGACAGCATATAGTTAGTAACAAATAATTCATTTAAATTGATCAACTTTGCGTTGAGATTTTTATTCACCCTAATACCTAATACCTATGCATTTTCACCCCTTGTATTTTTTAAGAATAAGCATTGTTCTTGTAATTAGAAATCTAGTTCATGTTTTAGTTAGAAGCCAAAATACTAGCTACACTAATAGAGGCTCTTTTTAAAGAAAGACATTTGCATCTTGAGATCCAAGAACTTTATTCTACAATTTTGAGATCCAAGCACTATCTCAGAGATATAATATACGGGAATTTTTCACCTGTTCAGGATAAAATGTCTACCTAATATTTTTTAACTATATTTTATTTATACAACAGTCTTTACAAATTACAAAAGACTGAGACAGTTGATTTATTCTTTGATTCTTTAGTGAAAATGCAAAGTTAAAAATAAGATCAACTATTTACTTGTTTCGAAATCCTAGAAAAATTGTTTAAATTTTACTTTTGTGTAATTTTATACAAAGAAAGGAAGTTCTGCACGACTCGTAGTCTTCAAAATGTTTCAAGCAATATTAGTTACAAAGTAAATCACGCTTTTTATGTTTTGATAAAGCACCTAAAAGCTGTTTAGTTATTAAGCGAAACTTTCAGCAAAATTTAAGTATTGGTAATCGAATCAGTTTCCTGGTGATTCAAGCAAAATAAATATATTGCATAAAGTTGTTAGAATCTTTAACAGAACGCAGCCTACTTGCTTCCATATAACCTGTTCTATCTTTCTATAATGGAAAGAACTAAGCAAATTTGCACTCATAAAAATTTCTTTTAAAAGCTCAAATATAAGAAAGACAGAATTAAAATTCAAGTATAACAGCTGTCTTGGTTACGCAACTGATAAAATCTTGTTAATTAAGTAATGCTTACTTTTATTCATCATCCCGATTAGGCTACAATGTGTTAGTACGCGCCAGATGACCTGTTAACAAGGTGCAAATATCTTTATTGCTTCTTAAGTGATACAAAATCAACAGTTCAGGGCCTTGTGGAAAAGAATACCTGCCAATTGACAGTAAACCACTGAAACCAAATTAATTTTAAAGAGTTTTCGAAGACAGTAACAAAAAGAAGAAACTAAAATATTTCACTCGGGCTACCGAGGAATTTCGCAATTTACGAATTACAGAGCTTTAGATTGAATCAATTATGTTTAAAATCTAAATAATATATTGTTATCATAACCAAACAATAATTATAATCATTTTAAATTATTAGAAAAATGTTTAAAATGAAATAGACAGTTTTGTCACAGAGTGTAGTCAATTTGAAACGGAATGAAGTTTGTTAACTTTTGACTTGTTGAATTGTGTACGTGTGTTAGTTCATTCTTTATCGTATTTAGGATTGCAATACAGAAAATGTAATTAAAACCAGACAGTTGCATCATTTTTAGACCTGATGGCAGACCAGAATTCATAGTTTTGAAAAGGGGAATTCAGCTTTGGGAGAGGTCTCGTTAAACTGAGCCGTTCTTTTCATTCTTTCTAGGCACATTGGGGTACCCATATCCGAGGGATACAAATAAAAGGTTCAGGACTAGCTTCACGACAACACAGTTAACAGAACTTGAAAAAGAATTTCATTATAACAAATACCTAACAAGAAGACGAAGGGTAGAACTTGCACTTGGGCTCAATTTGACGGAGAAGCAAGTCAAAGTTTGGTTTCAAAACAGACGAATGAAATGGAAAAAACAGCTCAAGACTGTGAAAGACGGAAACATAAAAACCGAGGAAAATGACGATCAATTGAACAATGAACGATGTATTGCAGATAATACTGAAACCGAACAGGAAAGTCAGAGGGAAACTGAAGATAGTGATGTTCAGGAAACTGAAGAAGATGACGATGACATTGAGGAGTCTGATGTTGATGACAGATGTATGGAATAGGAATGCAATTCTGGGTAATTTATTCCAAGAACCCGAAGATCAATGTGCAATTTTCAATGAACAAGGGCATTGTTATGTTAAAATTGATTTGCAGTACAATTACTGTAATGCAAGATGAATCTGATAAGTTTGGCAACATACGCTACAAACCTGCGGCTGAATGTAAAGATATTTTGTGTAATAATGCAAACAGATGCAAAGTGAAAATTATAGTGCAACTGTATATAAACAACTTCGAGACACAGAGGAAAGGAGAAATTTCCGTAAAAATGACGAGGATGCAAAAGCAGCAATTTTAGATGTCTTCTATTCATTCCTTTTCATTTAGTAAGAAATTCTCTGCACAAAAGTGTTGATCAATTATGAACCTAATATTTTTAGTAAAATTCTGTGAGGCAAAAATAAATTGTTTTGCTGATGCTATTCATCAGTTGGCTTATAAATGAATGTCTTGAGATTTTTGAATTTGTAGGTATTAAGCGCCATGGAGGAGAGACACAGGAAATACCAAACTGTATATGCTCTCCATTAAAAAATTCTCAGTCACAACACCTTCCTCTAACTCATATAATAATGATAAAAAGGTTTGGTAACAAAATGAAAAAATATTTTGTAACAGAATCTACCATTCACGGTGTATCTTTAAAAACATTGTGTGATATAAGGTGCATCTGTCAAAAAATTATCGACTCATAATAGAAGCGTTTTTGAAACAGTTGTTTTGTTTTAACTAAACCTTAATAGCAATTATTCCTAATGTACAGTAATAATTCATGCAATAGACTTGAGAAACGATTTCCTCTATAGGAAATAGCACTGTAAATACAGTATGATTTTCTTGCACTTTTCAATATTAACCGCTGCGAGAGAATATGACTTTTTGATGTATTTACCAAAAATCAAATATTTTGCACAAAGAACTCGGCACCTTAATATTTTAGCACCTTGAATAGTTTTAATTGGAGTGTCTTGCATAAGTATAGCAAAATGGAAATCAAAGCAAATATTTTGCAAGTAGATAAATTGAATATCAAATGATAACGTATGAGAATGCATTTTTATCAAGACTTTTCTATGTAGTAGATAACAACTAAAATATTAAAGTTTATTTCACCTCCATGTTCATATCTATGAATACTGACGGAGAAGATAAAAGAATTCTGCAAATCAACTTTAACCATATCGAGACCGGGGGGGGTTGGGGGCTCATTGTTCAGCTCGACTAGCACTTGGTTAGCTTTTTGACTTTAAGTTTTTAATTATATGAAAAGTGAAATTATGTGAAAAAGTAAACAAAAATATATTAGGGGAGGGATGATGTTAGCTGTTTTCTTCACAGTGGCCAGAGCCAACATTTAAGGAATTGCCCTGAGAACCCTCTTGGATTTGATAAAATCAAAATTTAAATTTTGCCCTTCTAACACTGCTTCGATCAACATAACTTGGTTTTATGAATCAATCCTATAAAATGATTTTTTGTGTACTATTGTTTTCGTGTCTTGTTTTCGTGTTTTGTTTTCGTATCTATTTCTCGACATCTTTTTTTTAAATGATACATCATAAGCACTGCTGTGTCTATGGTAATTTTCCTCAACATGAAACAGCTTAAAAGGCCCGGTTTGGATAGGGTTTAACTTTAAAATAGGCAGAAGCTCCAGCCAACAAAAAAGCAACAACCACTGCCACTTCAGAATTAGATCTGAAAGTTTAAATTACAAAAGTATACTTAAATCATCTTTTTACTAAGCAATTTACATAAAAGTCTTTGAAATGTTGATACGTCAATGCGTTTACTAGTCCAACTAAAACACGTGTTGAGATCAGTCGCACTATATCATCATTATTAGCTATCCATTTAAGTGGATGGCCTACAAATCACCGCTTTAACGTTAAAACAACTCGAGCAGAAATGTTGCAAAGCATTGAAGACATAATGAAACAGAGTTATTGGTTAATGCCAATTATTGGATAATGCAAATTTGATAATATTTTCAAAAAACTGCATGTGAGCATAAATATATGAAGGGCGTTTGAAATAATATAATTCAAAATTTTCTGTAGAGTATACCCAAGCTAAAACATACTATATGGGTTTCCTTGAAGGTTCCAATCGAGAAAGCAGTGATGTTTATAAGGCACTATTCTTAATGCCAATTGAATCAACTTTTTACTGAAATTTTTTATGTTTTCTAACCACTACAAATCGGCGATTTAAGTGTTGGGTGAAAGTCGTGTCAAGAACTCGTGATTGCTGAAAATATATTTACATCACTTTATAATTGTTACCTAGCAGTAATATTTTAATCAATATTTTGAGGGAATAAGGAGCTGGCAGGACATATGGCTAGCAGAGGAAAAGCTTGGAACCAATCACAGAATAGAGATCGATCTTCTACGATCCAATTGATTCCTGTCAGACTTATGATTGTTTTGTGGAGGACGGGGTGCGGTTTCGGTCTTTTCTTCTGCAAACTGCTAGTTTTTAAAGGCAACAAGGCATTTCAATAACTTTAGACCAATACAATAAAAATAGCTGGGAATGTAGATTGAAATATCCTTTCAATCCAGCATCTGCAGGGGCAACGTAATCCTTAGAACGCATTTAGGAAGAATTAATTGCCCTTATTTTTTAATTTAGTTCCAGTTAGGGACGAGAATCTGCAGATGAAGTGTGTTTCTCATATTTAAGGTGTTAAGCATATCGTTGGCAGGAATTGCCAATTAGTTGAAGATATGCGCTGAATATGAGGAGAGCCTCTTTAACAAGGATTACAGAAAAGATTTCTTTGTGAATTGCTGGGTCACCCGGCTCAGTGCTATAGCTTATGAGTTCATTCGTAATAACCAAAAAGTAGGAATTTTCTCTAATCCTATATGTTCTAAATGCATACAGAAACGGATACATTTTGAAAGGCTTTTCTTCGCTCAAATCCGGATGAGAGTAAGTTAATAGTAACTAGACGCGTTGGAAATTGAAGATTGGCCGCACGTATGGCTATAAGAAGGCACGTATAAGAACAGTCTTAGTTCAACCTGGCCGCAACTGTGAAAAATATTTTAAGACGATCATAGATGTTATTACTCTTAGCATGGATTTGTTTATGACAATTTGCAAAGATTAACATTTCTTACAGCATTTATCGGCGGGAAGCTAAATTGAAATTAAAGGATCATTATTTTAAATCAGACAAACTTCAAAAAAGATAAGGCACGGGAAAGTTGCAAATCGATGTAATTAACTGGTTCCATTTTGCCAATTAGTAGGATTCTTCACTTGCCTTAACAACAAAGCTAAAAACAAACATATGCCCAAACGAGATATGACTGTTTGCCTTGGCTTTCTATGCCACGAAGAATTTCGATAATCGTGTCTTCATTCAAATCTCTCATAATTGAGATTAATTCAAGTGAGTCAAAAGTGCACGGGTCTACCATCATCTAATTTTAATTCATCTAAAGGCAATAGCTGACCAGGGTCGATTCATTGCTTCGTGGGTCAAACGATTCTCAGCAAACGATAACAACAATGTACCATCTGACACAGAGATACCGTAAATGATTTGTTTTCTACCTCATCCATCAATTAATTCATAATCTGGAAATATGAAACAAGCATTTTCGTCAGCTAAACGATTCTTCTTCCCACAAAGTCTATTAGGTTACAGAAGGTTCTTAAAGCAATTATAACAAGCTAAGTGCTAGGCGACTTCATTTTTTTCATTATTCAAGCATAATGGACTTTTTCAACCATTTTAATGGCAATCTGAGATCCCGTCCACACGGTGACGGATATTTTTGAAAACGCAGCCATTTTCATCCGTTTTCAGTTTCTGTCCACACGTAAATAATCTTTTCACAATCTTTTCTTTGCAACCTTTTGAAATCGCTCTCAAGAATGGAAATTGGTTCATCTGTGGACGGCAAAAACGTAGGTTTTTCAAAAAACGCCACACACAGAATTGAAGTAAAGATGCCAAAAGAAGTAAAGATGCCAAAAGAAGTAATCGGAATCGTAAAGTAAAATGCTACGATAGTCGGTTATCAAATCTGGCATCTTACTTCCCACTTAAAATTCCATTCTTCAATTTTCAAAATATGTAATCATTACATATGAACTTTACAATCATAAGTAGCGTTTTCAGAAATAGCTACGCCTCGTCGCCTGTCAAAACAAGCGATTCAGTAGTCTTATCTTCTGAATATTTCTTTCCTTCGCCATTTACTGTGGTTTTTTCTCATGTTAGAAATTATCATCGCTTTGCAGAAGCAGTAAACAACGCAAATGAAGAATTGGCGCCAAGTTATTTGTGCATGTTCATGGCCGAATTACAAGCGTTTTTATTTGGTTTGCGTTTGCGTCTTGACGGAGATGTTTTTCAAATGATTGTGGTGTGGATAATTTTCGTCCTATTATTTAAATGTATTTCGTCCTCAAAATCTTCCGTGTCGCAGTGTTTGAACAATCTCTTATCAAGGCTGAAACTGCTGAGTATCTCTGTTTCGATATGTACATCAGTATCCGCCCATCTTACTATGAGAGAACCTTCCGTTCTTTTTAAATCAGGTATTTCAGTCAGGTATTCTTTCATTTTAAAATCTGCTTTCATTTGAAAAAGTGGTGTTTTTTCTGTTTAGCGGTCTCAGAGATTCTGTTTAATTTGGTTTTCCATTGTTAAAAAAATGACCTAAGTTTTTACTTGATCAATTTTTATGGCGCATTAGTGGTATATCGTCTGGCAGTGTCGCAGATTGAGCTTAAAGCAGAAACTTGGGGATTGCTTTGACATTAGTGGTCCAAAAGCAAATATAGTCTGAGAAGCTTTCCTTTCAACTTACACTTCTTTTAAGAACGATTGATCATTTAGCGTTTCTAGTCTGTGCCACAGCCTAATCAAAGATGCAAGGTTATTAATTAAAAACTGTGCTTTGCCTAGTTCTCCCAGAATGGCTAAAGAACCACAGTTTCTCTCTAGACCAATTATTTGTTTGCAAAATTTCAAGTTTCGTTTTTAAAATAATTATTTGTTTGCAAAATTTCAAGTTTCGTTTTTAGAACATAAACAATGAATGCTTCTGAATTGTTATCAATATCGATTTGAGGCTTCCAATATTTGTAACGATTGTACCTAAATAACGGAAACATTTCATTGTCTCCAGATCTGAAGTGCCATTATTAAACGAGGGGAAACTTGAAGTTCTACCATTGTTACTAAGAATCATTGTTTTTCTCTTTTTGCACTTTATATTTAGCTTCCATTCAGTGCAGAAGTTTGAATAAAAATAACCAGTTGTACTCTTCGTAATACTAACGAACTAAAGCTGAGCGCATTTTTGATAAGGGATACCTTTCAAGACACTGCAAGCAAATTACTGAACAAACTCTCAACAGAAATAAGAGAACAGAAATCGTTGACCTCATTCTGCACAAAACTGAAAGCGGATTTAATGAGGCGTGGTAAATATCGACTTTGCCCTAATTCAATTTTGATAGTTTTTTCATAGTGAATTTCGCTGTTATCGCCTAACTTACATTGTAACTTATTCCTTTCACAGATTGTAACATTTAGGGAAATTGTATTTTTAGCTCGAGTTGAAGAGCCACAGTAATTGTGGATATACTCGATAAACCTTGTATGTATGTATGTGTGTATGTGTGTATGTATAATACATAATGTATTCTCTCAAATTAGCGGACGCCGTCGGGGCACGAGCAAGGTGTCCGCTATTTGGAAGTGTCCACCTTTTGGAAAGTTTTGCAATGTAAGTACCAAATTTGAAAATAAACCCAAGCTTTGTATTAAAAAGGTGTAGTCAATGGTGGCGCCAGGGGAGGGCTACAGCCCCTCCGTCGGAAACGTCTATCCCCCCATCCGAGGAAGTTATTGGAAAGAGGTTGAATCGTGAAGGTGGCTATGGTCTGCAGATTCCAGTAATTTACCACTTTCATGGACAAGAAAACTTAGTAAGCTGGGCTGTAAAGAAGCTCAAAGCTGGAAAAAACCAACTAGATTGTCGAAAGTCAAAGTGTTTGAATTATATATTTGAA